GTGCTTTTCATTTTACTTTGTATATATATTCATCATTGGAAGATGTTCCATCTCTTCAGAACCTCTTTTTATCTGTTATATATACTGATCATCTATTCTCATCAAGGTGCTCACCACCTCCCTCATGGAAGGCCTGGATTCGAAAGCCACCTGTGTGAAAATTGGGAAGCGTATTCACCTCCGTGGAGGCCGCGTGTGTTTATATAGGCAGAAAGAGCCCCTGCCGTGGCATACAATCGTGATCCGAGATTTGCTGAGAGAGCGTCCTTGATTACGAGGAATAGTAATGACCTAAACTAGGAAGGACGCAGTCTACCACAAATCTCGGTGCGGTTTGTTACAACGTGACTTGCACGTATGACACACACACACACATGCATCTATCTATCTGTTTCACACCCTTCCTCAATCTTAACCGGGATTTCTAAGGTTGAGATTGTTCACATATTCATAATGCTTCTGGGCCACCAATGGCTTCGTGAGTCCATCACTATCTCGATCACCGGTGCTAATAAATTTGATGTGAAGCTTCTTGTGCGCTACTCTTTCTCTAACAAAATGATAATCTATCTCTATATGCTTCGCCCTTGCATGAAAAAACAGGGTTAATGATAAATAAGTCGCTCCAAGATTATCACACCATAATACTGCAATTGGTGGAGATCGTATGCCAAGTTCTTGTAACAAGGATGAATCCAGATAATCTCGGCGAGAGCATTAGCCATTGCCTTGTACTCAACTTGATCTTTGGATCTAGCCACCGTAGGTTGTTTCCGTGCACTCCATGAGACCAAGTTCCTTCCAAGATAGATAGCAAAGCCCACGTGGACCGTCTCGTCATCAATGCATCCCGCCTAATCTGCATCGGAGAACCCATTAACAAGAGTTGACACGGACTTAGTGATTTTTAAGCCCATATGCGAGTGTGCTTGATATATCTCAGTATTCTTTTGGGCTGCAGTCCAATGATCAGTAGTAGGTGCATGAAGGAACCGACAAACTTTGTTAATGACAAATGAAATATCTGGTCTTGTAAGAGTGAGATCTTCGCAATGCTCCTACCACACTCCTATATCTGGTCACATCATCAACACTAAGAGGAGTCCTGCATAAGTGATAGCTTCTCTGTAGTTGTCATTGGAGTATTGCACGGTTTGCAATTCAACATCCCTGTCCTTCTAAGTATATCATTATCTGTATTTTCCTTGTGACAAGAGAATACCATCTTTCATATGTGATACCTCAATACCAAGGAAATAATGAAGCTCACCCAAGTCTTTTAATGCAAACTCGGACTGAAGCGCTGAAGTAGCCTTGTTGTCCCCTCCGAAGTCGAGCTAGCAACTATGATGTCATCAACATAGACAAGAACATACATGGTCGGGATTTCGCCTTCTTAAATATAAAGAGTGATGTATCACCTTTAGATGGCTTAAAACCGAGTTGTTGAAGCTTCACACTCAAAGTGAGAGTACCGTGCACGGGGGTGCCTGTTTTAACCCATACAATGCCTTCTCTAGCTTACACACATAGTGAGGGAGATTCTTATCTTCATACCTGGAGAGAGGTCGCATATAAACTTCTTCCTCTAGAATGCCATGAAGAAACGATTCTTCACATCCAACCGCCTTAAACTCCAACCACGAGACATGCAATAGATAACACAAGTCGAATGGTTGCAGATTTAATAACCTGGACTAAATGTATCTTCATAGTCAAGACCATACCCTGCTTGAAACCTTTGGCGACTAGCGGGCTTTGTAGCGCTCTATAGAGCCATCAAGCATTTTCTTGATTTTATAGACCCACTTGCGTCAATTACATTTCGTCACGGAACACGTGAAACAAGCCGCCAAGTCTTGTTGCTTTGCAATGCCATGAATTCTTCATCCATTGCTCTCTTCCAATTTTGATTCCCCAAAGCTTCATCTAGGTTGTTAGGCTCACCTGTTGTGGTGAGGAGGCCATACCTTACTGTGCCATCTTTAAATTGTTTTGGTTGGCGAACACCTTGCGAGACGCGTTCGTGGTCGCAAGACGCCAGAAACTTCGATCATACGTGCAAAGCATCATGCACACGCAGTGACCCTCGGGATCGCGATGCTTTTCGATCCTCCTATGTCGCCCTCGTGAGAAGCGGACGGCACACCGGATCCCGGACCCCGTGTGTGGCGCGCGATGGAGAGACGGATTCTCGAAGATCCCGACACCGTTGCCCCCCATGCGCCGCCGAGTCTCAGCGCCGGTGGATCCAGAGGCGAGCCCCCACGTGTTGGCGCGGGAAGCGGATGCGATAGTTGGAGAGACAAAGACGGTGGCGGCGGACATCGCGCCGCGCCACGCGTTGAGTCGCGCAGAACCGGTAGCGTCGCCGGACCCTCCAAGCGGCGATCAGCGCATCAACTCCGAGATTTGTTGCGGGTGGAGCTGAGGGGATACGTGAAATGCCGCCATTTTCGGTAGAAATTTCGGCTGATTTTTCCTGAAACATTGGATCAGCATTAGTAGCACCTGCAGATAGGACATCAGGCACATGATCATGCATTGACATACCCCTGGAAGAAGGAATAAGCAGGGATTCACTGGTAAATCGGGCACCGACATTAGAATGAAGCTTGGAGAACGGAAAAACATGCTCATCAAAGGTGACATCGCGAGATATATATATGCGACCGGTGGGTATATCAAGGCACTTGAAGCCTTTATGAAGATTACTATACCCAAGAAAAACACATTGCTTGAACGGAAAGCGAGTTTGTGGGTATTATAAGGACGGAGATTTGGCCAACATGCGCTGTGACCAAAAGTGCGAGCGAAGTTATAATCAACTTGATCTTTGAAAAAGTTTGTGTAGAGGCGTCATGTTATTGATTACACGACTTGGAATCCTATTTATCAAATAGGTGGCTGCTAAGAAAGCTTGGTCCCAAAATTTTAATGGCATGGAAGCTTTGCATTATTAATGAGAGGCCAACTTCGACTATGTGTCGATGTTTGCGTTCAGCGGATCCGTTCTGCTGATGAGTGTGAGGGCAAGAGACATGATGAGCTATGCCAATCTTGCTAAAAAAAGAATTTAGGCGCTCATACTCTCCTCCCCAATCAGATTGGATGGCTAGGATTTTTTTGTTGAGTTGCCGTTCAGCAAGTTGTTGAAACTCATGAAATTTATCAAGTACCTCAGACTTGTGTTTAAGAAGATAAATCCGGTGAATTTGCTATAGTCATCAATGAAGCTCACATAATACTTATAATTCCAAAAGAATCAATGGCATGCCCCATACATCCGAATGAACAAGTTCTAACGGAGACGAGATTTACTCAACGATCTTTGATAGGGCAATTGATGGCTCTTGGCCATTTGACAAGAATCACAAACTGTGGTTTCTCTCGAGTACGAGGAACAAGACAATTTATTGCTACCGAGTACTTGCTGAACGACATCAAAAGAAGGATGGCCTAGGCGGTCGTGCCACATCTCTAGTGACGGCGAATCATTGGATGCAGCAAAAGCTTGTTTATTCTTGAAGGCAGCCGCAGCATAGGGTAGAGTCCTCCTCTACACGTTCCTTCAAGCAGATTTTCTTCGTGATGCGATCCTTAATAAGAAAGAAATTTGGATGGAACTCAAGGTAAGCATTGTTATCCGCAGCTAGTTTATGAACAGATACAAGGTTTTTAGCAAAGACCTTTGGGAACATGTAGAACATTTTAAGATGAATTTTTCTTCCAGCGCATGACGGATGACATGACCAATGTGTTCAATGTCCATACCGATCCATTTGCCGTGTGGACTTGATCGCCACCATGATAGCGGTCACGGATCACCATCTTGTCCATCTCTTTGTGACATGATCGAGGCGCCAGAGATCTGTGTACCATTTGAATCTACACCATACTCACCATAATTGGCGGCGTTGGCGCTCTTGTCTTCGAGGACATAGTTCTCATCAAACCGGTACCGGCATTCGGATGTTTGTGTGGACGCCCACCTTCTTGCAGATTTGACACTGGACCTTACGCTTGCCGGAGCTGGAGTTGTTGTTGAAGTTCCGCGCGCCACGCCCACCGTTGTTGCCACGGCCCGCGCACGCGACCACCGGGACATGCGCCCGCCTCCACGACCCGTGAGGCCGCGTTGGCGGAGAAGCTTGGCGAAGAGGATGACCCGGACGACCCTTGGTAGAGATTCATGCGTTGTTCGAAGGCGAGCAGTTGTGACGTGAGCTCGGTGACGCTGATCGGCTCGACACGTCCAAGAGCGGCGGAGATGACCGGATTGTAGTCGAGATCGAGGCCGGTGATGATGAAGGAGATGAGTTCTTCATCATCAAGCGCTTTGCCTGCAGCTGCCAATTCATCAGCATATGTTTTCATCTTACCGACGTATTCGTCGATGCTCATGGTCCCCTTCTTCGTGGTAGCCAGGGCAATACGCGTGTTTACCGCGCGCGCCCTGGTTTGTGACGCACAGAGCTCCTCCAGCGCCTTCCAGAGAGACGCCGAGGTGTCGCAGTGGGAGATCTGCTTCATCATCTCCTTGGAGAGCGAGTTGACGATGTAGCCGAAAACTTGCTGGTCTTGCGCCAGCCAGGTTGCGTAAGCCGGATTTGGCTCCTTGACCTTGTCAGTGCCCTCGATCTCCTTGGCCGGGGCAGCTTTGGATCCATCGATCAGCCCAGTAAACTGAGCGCCGCGGATGGCAGGCAATACCTGCAGCTTCCATAGGGTATAGTTGGTCTTGGTCAATTTCTCCGTCACGGGATGGCCTAGCGCCGAGGACAGGAGACCACCCGCGATGAGGTTCGTCGCCATGGCGATTATTTTTGGCAGTGGATAGAGGTTGGCTCTGGTACCATGTGAAAATTGGGAAGCGTATTCACCTCCGTGGAGGCCGCGTGTGTTTATATAGGCAGAAAGAGCCCCTGCCGTGGCATACAATCGTGATCCGAGATTTGCTGAGAGAGCGTCCTTGATTACAGGAATAGTAACAGCCTAAACTAGGAAGGACGCAGTCTACCACAAATCTCGGTCTGGTTTGTTACAACGTGAACCTGAGTGCAGGAAATCGCCAACTCCAACAAGTCCAGCGCCTTTGCCTTCTCATCTTCAGGCCAGTACATTATCTCCTCATCTAGAAAGCTCATCACGCTGCAGTAATCAGCATGCTTCAGGTTCAGTCTCATCCATGCCACAATGTCAACGCCGTCTCCGAAAGCAGGATCTATCGGCATCTTCCTACACAGGAGCTCGAGCAGCACCACACCGTAGCTGTAGACGTCGCTCTTCTCGGTCAGTCTTGTGTTGTATCCATGCTCTGAAATTTTTCCGACAACACAGGTTAACATAAGAGACCAGATGATACGGCATCGGAATGATTGTGAAATTTCTGAAATGAGGAAATGTATGTTACCTGGAGCAATGTAGCCAAGGGTGCCAACAACAACTGACACCGTCGCATCTGCATCCTCATCGCCTACAATCTTCCCCATGCCGAAGTCTGTGATTTTAGGCACCAAATCCGCATCCATCAGTATGTTTCTTGACTTGACATCTCTATGAACAATCATCGGCACGCAGTCATGGTGCAGGTAGGACAAGCCCTGCACCGCGCCAAGCGCGATCTGATGCCGAACCTTCCAGTCGAGAGCCACCTGAGGTTTTCTTCCATGCAATAGCTCAAAGAGCGTTCCTTCAGGCATGTACTCGGACAGAATCACGCCGAAGTTGCCGCGGATGCAATAGCCCTCCATCTTGACGATGTTCCGGTGCTTCACCATGTTGAGAATCTTCATCTCGATGGGGAATTTGATCTGGGACAGGTCCACCATTTTGACCGCCCACCGCCTTCCGGGAGCAAGCTCTGTCCGGTAGACTGTTCCATGCCGGCCTCTTCCAATCACATACTTCTCGCTCCAGTTGTCAGTGGCACGAAGGATGTCATCATAGGTCAGGTCTTCAGGCAATTCCTCCGTCGTGTCCAGGCCACGCACCGAGACATGTTTTGCCAACAGGCGCCGCCGTGACCTCTTCACCATGTAGTGAATTGCACACAGCCCAGAAGCCATGACAGACAGAGCTGACAGTAGCAGTGCTATAATGATCCGTGTGTTCCTTCTTATACGCCTCCTAGACTGATTCTTGGAGCAAGGTGCATTTTCAGACTGTATGCATAGCTGAGGATTTCCCAGAAACCCCTCCGGAGACCGTTCTGCAAGCTTAGCCCAGCCAGCAGGGAGCAGACCAGAGAGCTGATTGAACGACACGTTCACCGCAGAGAGCGAGATCATGTTGTTCAGCTGCGGTGGGATCGGGCCAGACAAGGAGTTCTCTGACAGGTCAAGCATTTCCAGAATCCGAAGATTGCCGAGGCTGCTTGGGATCGTGCCACTCAACATGTTGCTGCTGATGTTTATGATCTGAGAGATGAACTGGAGCTTGCCTAAGCTCCAAGGGATAGCTCCTTTCAAAGAGTTGTCGCCAAGCTGCAGCTCAAGGAGGCCCTGCGTTGAGGTGAAGGCGTCTGGAATTTCTCCACTGAGCTTGTTTCCACTGAGTACAAGATGCTGCAGGCTGCTGAGTGATATGATATCTGCAGGTATGCTTCCATTGAGAAGATTATTCTGAAGATCCAGACGGACGAGTCTCTTGCAGCTTCCCAACTCATGTGGTATTGGTCCGGACAGCTTGTTCGACGACAGGTTCAGGTTGCCAAGAAGGGTTAGAGCACCGAGCTCAGGTGGTATGGGACCAGAGAAGCTGTTCCGAGACAGATCAAGCACTGTGAGGTTCCGCCATGGACCGAGCACACTTGGTACCCTGCCCTCAAACTGATTGCCACCCAATTCCACGTATGACCAGCTAGTGTTTATCCCCAAATCTGAAGGTAAACTGCCATTGAACAGGTTGTTTGCAAGACGGGCTCTCCACAGAGACTGACACTTGATGATCTCACTTGGAATGCTCCCACTGAATCTGTTCAATGCAAGGTCAAGAATGGCGAGCTGACCTCCGGTGCAGAGACCAGGTGGGATTGTGCCATGGAAGTGGTTCCCCATAACGTCAACCCGAACAAGTCCATGCGTCGTGTTCAGACCCAGGTCTTGTGGGAGCTCGCCGGTGAAGTTGTTGAATGCCAGGAGGAGATCTCTCAGGCTGCTCATGTGGTTTATCTCTGCAGGGATCTCTCCATTTAGGCTGTTGTTGTAGAGCGCCAGCTTCTCCAGCTGCGGCATCTGCCACAGTGCTGCAGGCACAGGTCCATGGAGCATGTTGTGGTACACAGGGACAGGGACCACAGCTTCTTGAGCTCGGCGAGCTCCGGCGGTATCTTCCCTGTAAGGTTGTTATTCTGCAGGTCAAGGATGAGCAGCTCCTGGCATTTCCCTATCTCGGGTGGAATTGCGCCGGTGACGAACGTGTCCTTGATCGTGAGCCGCTGCAGTCTGCTGAGGTTGCCGATGACCGCCGGAATTGTGCCGGTGAACTGGTTGTTGTGCAGGAGTAGCGTTGTCAGAGACCCACACTTCCCGATGGACTCAGGGATGGAGCCATTGAAGCCATTCATCGAGGCCATAAACTTCTCCAGATTCCCGAGCTCGCCGATGCTCGCCGGCAGCTCTCCGGTGAACAAGTTGCTGTCGAGGTACAGCTTCTGCAGCTTGGTAAGGAAGCCGAAGATGTCGGGCAGGGGGCCCCCGATCTTGTTGGAGGATAGGAACAGGACGGTGAGGTTGCCGCAGTTGTTAGTTGATATTTGAGGTCGTTCTGACCAAGTTGGATGAAGTAGCGGTGTGAGTTGTCATAGTTGGTTGTTGTACCAAAGTTGCTAGGACGAGTGATGCACTCTCCTGAGCTGTATAGTTTTTGATCTAGTTTCCGCTAAAAAAACTAGGTGGGCATTTGCTTTTTTTTTTGTTTCATCGTCTGCTAGAAATCGCGGCAAAGCTTTTGCCGTCCTCTCGGAAAAAAAAAGGTTGCCGCAGTTGCCGAGGCTCCGGGGGAGCTCGCCGGTGATCTGGTTGCCGTAGAGGCTGAGGTACTGGAGCCCGCAGCGTGCCGGGAACTCCGGGACCGGACCAGAGAGGCCGTTCCCGCTGAGGCTCAGGTAGGTGAGCCCCGGGAGCGCGGCGACCTCTGGCGGGATGGCGCCCGAGAGGGAGTTGTTGCTGAGTTCGAGCGTGGCGAGCGCGGAGCACGCGGCGAGCGCGGTGGGCACGGCGCCCGTGAAGCTGTTCAGGCTCAGGTCCAGCGTCGCGAGCGCCGGCATGGCGCAGAGCCGAGGCGCGGACGCCACGAGCTCGCCGGACAGCCCCTGCCCGGAGAGGTTCACCGCCGCGACCGCGCCCGTGGCGGTGCACTGGACGCCGAGGAACGCGCAGTGGCTCGGCCCGGTGTCGCCGCTGCTGTTGGTGGTCGTGGCGTTCCCCGACGGGAGGAGGACGCGCTGGGAGGCTGGCGGCAGGGAAGTGAGGAATGCGCGTAGGACGGCCGCGTCGCCGGCTCCCTGGGACGCCGCCGGCGTAACGGAGGCGGCGAGCGTGACGAGGAGCGATAATGCGGCGGTACAAGACATCGGAGGGAGCTAGCTGCTGCCTTGATGTGGAGGCGGCGGCGGCGGAGGCTGTCTGCTGCCGGCGCGCGCTCTGAACTCTGAAGGGAGGAATGACAGCAGAGAGATGGGCGTATGACCATGGTGTGTGTGTATATATATATATATATATATATATATATATAGCTCTGACCTCTGACAGCGATCACCATGGCTCGCGTAATTTAAAATTACTGTTGGGTCTAAATTTTGTGTGTTGCTGCGTTGCAGTTGCAGGCTCCACCATCTGTGGATTTTTTTAAAAATTGAATATAGTTTCTGAATCCACTTTCTAGAACCTGACTGTGATGATCAGGCTATCCGAGACCAAGTTGCTGATGGTGGTTGAGCTTTCGGCTAATATTCCAAGCACAGATGCTATGGAACAAGAACTGGTGAGGGTGCAGGTGATATCCACAGGAGGAATTCATCTGTGCCAGTTGGATTTTTTCTAGGGTTCAGAATCTTTGCCCTGCCTTTGTGACCGCTGATGATCTGTGGAGGCAACTAGATTTTGCAGTGGGCTTAGGTGCAGCCGTGCAGGATCCTCTTGTTGCAACTTGCTATAATTATATTGTTGTCTTGTTCATTCTTTGTGTCAGCAGCATTTGTCTGCTTCTCTCACATCTCATCCACTCACCTATGTTTTCGTTTACGTGCATCGTTTTTTAACAGTTTTGACCGTGTTCTTTTTCGACAAATTGTTTTCGATACTTCTAGTGTGGCAATATCATTTGATATCCATAACATATGATTTGTGATACTTTAATAATTCTATGCATTGTAAATTATGAATAATGCCCTGTTCTGTTGTACTTTTCAGCGAACGAACAGTGCACAACAAATCAGCATAAGCCAAATTTCAGCGAAACGAATAGGGCAAATTTTATAAAAAAGGAAGCTCAAAGTTTCTACAGTAAACTGGGGAACAGGTAAATGGAGGACAATAGTTTTGCTTGAGGGAATCCACAACTGTAAGAGCTACTTACTAGCTCTAAGACAACATCTTCAATAGTGTTAACTTTTATTAATGACTCATATTATGATTAGACCCACATGACAATCTCACATGATCTTGAAATTGATATAAAACTGGCTCTTGATTAAAAGTTAGTTTTTCTCTCTCTTCTATCAATAAAATGCTTAGAGCTAGTTCAGTCATTGTTGGAGCTGCCCTGATGGTCATCTGACTGTTTTTTACATGGAACCTAAAAAAGGTTGGTCATCATGTGTGTATGGGCATTGTCCTTTGTGTCAGCCTACCACACCTCACCATATATCTGTTGGAGATGCCCAAAGTTGGATGCATGCCTGCTGATTAAGGTTTGCACCAGTGCAGCTAAAAAGCTATCCTATGACCAAAAGCATGTGCTGATTGGTTGATCGATCATCACCGTCGTCGTCGTCATTCAGCACTAGACACTTAGGACAAGTGCACTCTGCTCGTAGAAGGTGGCAGAGGCAAATGTTTGGTGGTGTTGCGGTGGGGGTGGTTGTGAAGGGGCCAGTGCTCAATTGGGTCTACTACTAGTACTGGCATGCCGGCTATATAGTGAAGCAGAATTGGTGAGAGTTTGTTTGTTTCTTGCTTTCTTTTTCTGAAAAATTCTTTGATGCATGCTTTCTAGATGATAGAAACCGTGCTGCAAGCACTTCTTCTGTGTATGATCCCCTGGCAAGCTGCACTGGATGTTGGATGTGCTCAAATAACTAATGCAACTGATTCTTTTATTTTGCATTGCGTGCTGTTGTTCTAACACAACCGTTATTGTAGAAAGTTATATAGCTATAATAACACAACATTGCAGCTATTGACAAACTATATATGAAATGAGAAATTTTACGATGGTTGGAAAAAGTATGTTTTTTTAACGGAATGGCAGGAGTTCTACCTTTCAATTAAGATAGGAAAAAGAGGTTTACGTACAGAGCAAATGGGGCAACGCCCTCATTAAGATTACAGAAAGTTTTATGTGATATGGCCCCCTTCCCAAGCTATAGCCCTCTTTCTTTTATTGATATCCTCTTTTACCCTTAAGGCCACCTGCATTGCCGACTCATGGTGGTTGCTAAAAAATTCTTCTGTTTCTTTCCTTCCATATATTCCACAGCGTGTAGATCACCATTCCGTTGAAGCGTCGTTGTTCTTGTTTCAGCATCTTGGATGCGGCCCATTCCCACCATGATTTCAGGTGAGGTGGTGCTTGAGTGGGGTGGATAAACTGCACATCAAAATGCTCCCATGATAGAATCTGGCTCCACACCGCCTTGGCGAACGGGCAAAGCAGTGAAAGATGAAGACACGTTTCCAAAGGTCCGTTACATAGGGCGCATTGGTTCTGGTGAGGCCAGCCTCTCTTCTGTAGATTATCCGCTGTTAGGATTTTTTTTCCCGCACCAGGACCCAAGCAAACACTTTACCTTTGTTCTCCGCATGTGCTTTCCATATGAGGTCATTACGGAATTCACCATAGGAACCTCTAAACTGGATCATATATGTTGAGCGGGTGGAGTAAGAGGCATCAGGAGTCCATCTCCAAACTATGGAGTCGCGAACACCCGGCGTCAACTGGATATTTTGGAGCCTTATCCAAAGGGAAACAAACTCCTCAAGTTGGACGGTGGTGGTGATCCTGCCTCTTAGCGTTCGGATCCAACTGTTGCTTCGGAGTTCCTGTTGGACCGATTTGTTTTTTCTTCTAACCAACCCAAACAAATGTGGTGCTAAATATTTGGGGGCCTCGCCCTCCAGCCAGCTGTTGTGCCAGAAAACGGGCCTTTGCACCATCACCGACCGTGACCTTGGTTGATATGTTGAAGAGTATCCGGTCGGTCTCATTGCAAGGTAGATCTGCGCCTGCCCAAGGTTTGGATTCATCAACCCAATCTTGCCAGAGCCATCGTAGGCGAAGAGCTCTACCAAAATTTTCTAAATCCGGTATCCCCAAGCCGCCAAGGCTTTGGGTCTAGCCACCATTGGCCAGTTTACGAGACAGTGGCCGCCATTTGCATTCTCTTCACCTTTCCATAGAAATGATCTCCTAATTTTGTCGTTTCTCTTCCTCGCCCAGGCTACGAGGGGGAACACCGTGAGGTGGTAGGTCGGCATGGATGAGAGTACCGAGGAGACTAGAGTGAGGCGACCCGCTCTGTTCAGCCATCTTCCTTTCCACCCCGGCAGTCTTTGGCCAATGCGCTCAATAAGTGGTTGTACATGAATTTTCCAAAGTTTACGGATGTGCAGCTGCAACCCTAGATACCGGCAGGGGAAGGTACCTCTTATTCCCGCAAAGGAAGACAAGATGTGTTCCAAATCCACCTCCTCGCACCTAATCGGGTGGATCGAACTTTTTTGCAAATTTATGTGCAGGCCTGAGAAACTCCCAAAAGCTTAGAGGACCGTTTTGATGGCTTCCAAATCATCCTTTATGGGGTTGATGAAAATGGCCACATCATCAGCATACATTGAGATCCTCCACCTTGCAGCAGCTGAAGGTAGAGGAGATAGGATTCCTTGTTGTGTGGCCAACTCCAGCAGACGTTGCAGGGGATCCATGGCGAGGATGAAGAGCATGGGCGAAAGGGGGTCGCCTTGACAAACCCCTCTGCCGTGGCTGAAATTAGGCCCATGTTGGCATGTGGCCATGCGAAAAAGGATGGATACCTGAAAGTGCATCTAGCCCTTTAGTGGGTTTTGGTTGATTGAATGACAACGTGATTAAAGGACTAACCCGTTTGCTAAGTGTGAACAGGTAATAGGTTATCTCACAGGTACTTAATGAAAGCCAAAATGATGTGTTGTTGTATAAACAATCTAGTTCAAGCACAAGACAACAATGCAAATGGAATTCATGTGAAGGCTTATTTTTTTTGTGGGATTTCCATGTACTATGTGAAAGCAAGCTCATGATTATTAGTTAATGAGACATGAGGGATTGCATATGGAATGGTCTCATATTTGAAGCTTGCTAAATTAAAATGAAAAAGATAACAATACATATGAATGGATGATTCAACACAAGATGTGACTTGATGGCTTGAGATGGTGAAGATAGCAAGGAAAGGCTTGAGGTACTAAGCAAGGGTGAGGGCAAGCGACGGCTTGGCGGTCAAGAACCTAGCTAGGGTGAAGAAGAAAGTACTTGCATTTAGTTGAGGTACTAATCAAGCTAAGATGGTCATATTGATGTGAAGAATCAAATCTATAATGAAGTATTTGATGGAAGTGACTTGATACATTTGGGGTTATTCAAATTTGATGAATGGAATCAAGTCACATGCTCAAGATGGCTATGCTCAAATGAAAAGATCAACATCAACTTGTTAGCACCCTTACTTGATGAAGATTGGAAGGGACGGCATCAATTCAAAAGAAATCAACTCAAGTGGTATAAATTCATTTTTCCTTTGATCTTGAGTTTAATAGGTATGCCGTACTATTAAGAGGGATGCATCATGTTGATAGATAATGTTTCATAAGTGCTCAAGCCAACCCATGTGAGGTTTGATTATTTGAGCGACAAATGTGCTAACTGATTTCTTGCTGGTCTGGCAATACCGGACGTGTCCGGTATTCATACCGGACGTGTCCGGTATTTGTCCAGCAGCTGTAAAATTGTTGTTCTCGGGTTGCTTCGTCGGGAGTTCCGACGTAGGTCGGGAGTTCCGACGGTCGGGAGTCCCGGCATGGGTCGGGAGTTCCGACGTCTCGCACTTCAACAGACTTAGAGGTTTCACTGTCCTGGTCATACCGGACGTGTCCGGTATGGATGACCAGAAGCCAACGGCTAGTTTTCAAAAGCCGTGAGGGTCGGGAGTTCTGACATGCGTCGGGAGTTCCGACACCTCACTAACTTTAACTCAGTTACATGTTTTTCAAAATTGCTGAGGGTCGGGGGTTCCGACTTGAGTCGAGAGTTCCGACGGTCGGAAGTCTCGGCATACTTCGGGAGTTCCGACGCCTCACAACATCACTGTAACTTAGT